TTATTGGCCGCTCATATGAGAGTGAAGGAGGACGGTGGATAACGGTTACTGGTGAGCTTGGGGCTACCGCTACGGGTGGACCAAACTCGCAGTAATTAGAGCACGAAGTGCGCTTAGGAGGAAAAGCAAAGTCGGATATCCCGTTCACTGAGATCCACACTACAGTTAGAGGTGGGGTGGCGTGATCCATTCGTCTTCGAGTTGAGTTCTGTCAGCTGAGATTGCTTAACTTTGCGATATTAGCGTCAGGATCAGTGTTGACGTCAGAACATGCGAGTGGGACTTTAGACGTCACTGAACCGTTGCATCTAGCCTTCATTGCAACCAGAGCCTGCAACAAAAGCGTGCGAAGTGCTCAGCCAACGCTATGTCGAAACTCAGTCTGCCTGTGATGAGAATCGATTCCAGAACCTCGATTCTTGATTCGCCCTTACCGCTGTATCCTCTTGGAATCTTCTCGAAAATGACCTAAACTGAGACGGACGATTTACATCTTCAACGCCAACTGTGACTTGCCCTACTTATTGCGGTCTATGTGTTGTAGACACAATCCGGAGTGTTTTTGGATTAGGATGCTATGCAGAGCTTAATGTAAGATACCGCTGCTGTAACTCACCCTCTATCTTTAAACAACAGTAAATGGGTTCCGGTGAAAGCGTTTACATCAAATCGTTCTATTGAAGGAAAAATTAACGATCCCTATAAAGTTAATCCTGTTTTGCTATTCTCACAAAGTCTCTTCGGGACTTCGTCCTCTTTCAGCTGGTAGAGCCTAGCCCTTCATTTATTGTAGTGGAGCATGAAAGACGAGACGCACAGCGGCAATCATGCCGAGTTTCTTCTACTACGGTTAAGGATTCATCCATTTGGGCGGTTGAAAAGGAACGCAATTGCGCCATTTTAGTGTAATGAATAATGCTTTATTAAAAAATATCAAATCTCGTGATAGGCATGTCCCGAGAAAGAGAGACAGCAATTCATCTTATTGAGATGCCTTGGTTGCGCACTCTAGTTGTTCTCATTTTTTAGCGCAAATAGTACGTCTGACTGGGAACAGTTAAGTCGGATCAGCATGCAGGTGTCCTTTCGAGATGGTTCAGTGAGGATGAGTTTATAGGCACCCAGGGAGGCGCACATTGCAAACACTTCTGTGTCTGTAGGCCGCGGCAAACCTAAAAAAATCGAAACCCTTGATGAGTCGTGAGGGACAAGTGTTCATAATGGAAGTGTCGCCGGCAATCCACATTCTGTGAGTTAGAAGATCGTATTTAAATCCACCTTAAGAAATTGACTCGAGTTCAGAAAGCGAAATAAACTGGGCTTAACGATGCGAACAGGTTTTCGCTTATCGAAGCTAAGCGGCCTGGACGCCAAATGGTTCGACAAACTAGGATTGATGACTTCAACGCTTCGAAAGTAACTACTTAACACACGGTTCATCGTTCTCCTCATTACCTGTTCTCTTTCTCATCCATATAACTAAGTGTCTTTAGTCAAATTAACGACTGTATTAGGTCACGAACCATATTTATCGATGATGGGCATGTGGAAATTAAAATGTCACAGTCAATGCTGCAAAGCTATTCGCACGTCAAATTCCCACCTGGAACGAGTAATATCCACTTTATGGAGAAAGGACATCTGGTGGCAGTGGTATCGCTAAGATGGCTATGGAACTGCTGTCGGACGAGTAGATGCAACTAAAAAAATCAGAAGTCCACATATGGGCACCGGTTTCCACAGTAAATTGTCTAGGTCATGAAATGTAAGCCAAAATTCGGAAATCTGCTTTCGATCCGAGCATATTAATCTAGTAGGGATGTAATATTGATTAGCATGCTACTGGATGTCAGTCACTTCAGGATGCCGACTTTTGAACGACCTCCCCTTTAACCACCAGGAAGGAGTATATTCTGTAAAAAAGAGACTAATCTGTACTGTCCTAATAAATTCAAATATATAATATAGGAAAAATGCACAAAAATATTATTTCTTGTACTTGGTTGGTAGCAAATTACGCTCCACTCAAAGTTTATATTTGAAGAAAGGGTATCTTTCGGTTTTAAAAAAGTTGCTAAATTGTCGAATAACTTGCATTCAAGGTCTCCAACATATATACTGTATACATTCTGTCTTAGGATAAGTAAGCCATTACCTACAGTGTGAAGAAAAAGAAGAAGTCACATAGTTCTCATATTTTTGCTTTGTATGTGGACCAAGTTGTATAATTTATAAGCAGCATTAACAACTGGACACGTAAGTTGCTCTATGAATGCACATTTTATGGTCTTTTCTTCAGGTGTAAAATTTGAAAAAGGCTTTATTTACTACCAAGCCAGTACGAGAGAATATTCTGTGCACTTTTTCCATAATATGTTTGAATGTATTAGGGCAGTGAAAATTAATGACAAAAAGGCACACTACGTAATTAATCCTTTTTTATAGACAAAACGTCTTTCTGGTGGTCAAAAGGAAGCCGGTCAAGAGCCGGCATCCTAGGGTGACTGAAATATATTGAGGTTAAGTCGCATACTAATAAATATTACAACCAAACTAAATTAATATGTTCGAGTGGAAAGTGCATTTCCGAACTTCAGCTGACATTTCATGAGATAGACAATTTATTGTAGTAACGCGGTCTGCAGCTCACGTTGAACACTAACGCAAATGGTTTTCGTGCAGATACAGCCCAAAGACCAACCAACCTTCAAGGGTGCAGAGTGCATAAGCCTGTTCAATGCATCCGTCGAGTCGCACCTCCTCGGCGGAACGTGCGCTCGCCTCGGCTACAATGGCGCGCAGAAGGAGTTTCTCGTAGCGTGAGAGCGACCGCAGAGCTGTCAGCTTGAGAGAGGAAAACATCTCCTTGAGGGCAGCATTGATGTGCGTCATCGTGACCACTTCATCGGTTCCGCATCCGCCTGAACTCCGCTTACTGACCTCCAGCTGGGCCAGTTCTGCTGCTCGGCGACAAATGTCGAGTGCCCGTCGGGCGTCTCCAGACACGGCCGCCACCTTCCGA